TTCTGTTTATGTTTCATATAGATTTACCAACACATCTCTATCAATCATGAACACTCTTTTTACTGTGAATCTCTCCCGAGTAATCACGATAATTTACTAGACGCACTTTCCTGAGATACGCTAGCTGGCTTTGTTTATTACAGTTCACTTTAGATTGCACCCAAGACTTCGTTATCCCTACCCGCAGTTATAGATCCCTCTTATACTTTGGGAGTGATGTTGTTCAACAATTACCTAATTATGCACTCTCTCCCGAGTTATGCATACTAAATAGGCACAGCTAATTGAGGATCCTGTCAATTAACTACCACAAACACGTAGTTGAACAAATAGAGATTAAACTGGCAAACTATATTAACATAATCGAGAAGTTCATCCTTCAATAGGTTCCATCAAAACCCTAGACAAAGGATTTAGCTACTCATGACAATGGGTAAATAAACTATGAAAATATTCATGATCAAAATTGCAAGAAAAATAAAGAGAAGAAGAAAAATATGATGTTTTGGGTGATCTCTCACACTTGTTTTTCTTGTCAAAGTACTCTCTAAAACATTACATGCCTTCCTTGGGCGAGTTCTATTGTTTAATATAAGGTTTTGGGCTAAAAATCCCGTGTTTTGCACTTCAGTCCCTCAATTTTCCGCTTCCTATCGCGGTCCTACCGCGGTTACGCCAGGACCGCGGCCAACTAGCCTCTCAGAATCCGCAACAGCCTTCTGCCGCGGTCCGACCGCGGTTACGCCAGGACCGCGGCAGTCCATCTCCAGTTCTGGTTTTGTTGTCTTCGCGTGGTGCACTCAGCGGATATTGTACGATTGGCCTCTTTTTCTCCGTAATTGATCCCAAAAGTACTCCATAGACTTCTTTTATTGTATATAGCCTGCAAAGCATGAAAAGCACTAATCAGAACATTTTGTTGTCACTTTTTACCATAAAAACTATATAAGAAGGTGGTTCTTTAGGGCCTAATTATAGTCCAATTCACCTATTATCATACTTGGCGAGGTATCTTATGAAGAAGAACTTCTATGGTGACTTATTAGGCTATAGGAGATTGGTGTAAAATGTAAAAGCATTAGCACAAGAGATCTGTGTATAGCTGGCTAGCTTACCTTATTCTTCCTGGCTTTGCTAACTTTTTCTTTCAAACTGTCTTCTGCAGGGTGTTACTCTTTTAATTCTTATGATACACATTTTATTTCCAATATCATATGAAGGCTTCCATCTCTACCGGAAAAGTCTTCTTAATAGAATGAAGGTATTTTGAACCAGACTTCCACGTTTCTCCTTATGAATCTTCATATTTTTTTCAATGTTAATCATTTCAGTTCCTCCTCGTAAATGTATCACTAGTTTGTGAAGATTAATGTTTTTTGATAACTGAGAAAACCTTGAGGGATAGTGGCGCACGGTTCGAAACTTGGTGGATACTGGGCCCGCCCCTCTACCCTTCATTTTAAATACCAAGCTTTTGCCTGCAGCAAGGTTCGAACATCAAAATCATTTTCTATTTTCCCTCTTTCTACTTTCCCTTCCAATTTGTCCACAATCAGTGGGTAAGTCTCACGTAAAAGTTCTCTGATAAACCCACGAAGTCAACTATGTGAATCCTAAGCAACTCTTGGTATTCTGCTTGCACTTTTTTTCTGTAGAAAACTGACCTATAACTGGATTTTCGATAAAGCACCTTGAGAAAAGAATTTCCAGAGGTTGGAGTTGGTGAATCAATTTTGCTTGAAACTCTCACAGAAACTATAGTTAATTTTCTTTAGTAACTTCTTTCATTTTTGGCTTACTTTTCAGGTCATTTTGCTGTTTATCTTGGTTGCAGATATTGTCGTCTACATTCTTTTCCCCGTAAACTACTATCTTCCATTTCGTATTGCACCCTATCTCAGGGTGGTGTTCTTTATTTTGAACAATAGGTACGCCATAGTAGGATTCCTATTCTTTTACTTTCCAAATTTAGTCATGATCTCTTTGACTCTTTGTTCATGTTTATGTTAATAACTTTCTTTACCCAAACTTCTCCCTCCAAGTGGTCTCACATTTTACTTTTTTAGTAGTCTTTTTTCTTTTACTCAATTATATGAAATATAATCAGAATACGATGATGATTATCATGCACAATACACAATGAGCTATGCATCTGTTATACACGAAGGTATTTGGAGAAGTGAGCTTTTAATGTTGTCTTCCAAAATATCAAGCAAATGTTATATTGTTCTACTTTAGAAAATGATAGTTTCATGAGTATGTTTTCTCATTCTCCATAATTTTTTCATTCCCACCCTTCCCCCACCCCACCGAGGAAGGAAGGAAGGTGAGCCTGATCTTCTGTGGTTCTATGAAATTACTATCCTGCAACTTTTGAAGGGAATGGAGTCTTCAAATATGATTTTGATCTCTTTGTCCTCTCTCTCTATCTCTCTCTGAGTCCATTATCCCGCTTCTACTTCTTGAATGAGCTTCAATTGTTACTTATCAAAACAAAAAGAAAAAAGAATGAGCTGTAATTGTGTAACGGATGTTTTGGACAACGGACATGCAATAAGCCTGATGAAATTGTCCGCGTATATTACATTGTATGGGTGCTAGTAATCACAAAATTTCCTCTGATAATAAGAATAAACCTCTCAGATATAGTATGCTTTACTTATAGTTACATTTAGTTGATGAAAATATGAAAGGTTCAGATGCTGATGCATCTTTGTAATCTATTATACTGTTTTTTTTATTATTTTAACAATGCATATGAAGTCAAAGATATTGATAGTACAGGAAAGACCAACCTTTTTAAATTGATCTAAATTAATTAGAGAACACGGTACATGAAGTTTCATATGGGACCCATGCATCTGCCGGTGCATCTTGGTAGGCTATTCCGCTAGTTGTTTATCATATAGCAATGCGTATGAAGTCATAATTCTTTCTTAGATGTGGTTGCTAATTTGATCTTAATTCCAACTTTTGACAATAGGGAATTATGAGATGGCTTCCTCCTTCTTGCAGGAATGCTTGGTACCTACCTTAATGTTGTGGTTAGTTATCGTTATCTTCGGGTTTAATGGTTCATTTTTGTAGTGTATAACAGACATTTTATGCAATTTGATATGATAAACTTAAGTGTTCACACCTGAATTCTTATCATCTTGCTGACCCAAGCCTTCCTCTTTTTATCTGCCCTTTGCAGGCTTTATCTACTTTATTTCTTCTATTCTCAAACTGGTTAGGGTACGCCTTTTTTAAAGACACGCGGCAGGGAGAAACCACGTTTACTTCATATGGTGCGACATTATACCAAATGTTTCTTTTGTTTACTGCATCGAACCATCCAGATGTATGGATCCCTGCATACAAGTAAGTTAGCTTATAAAACTGTCTTTGGTCTCCCTTTACTCTCTTACTCTCTATAATACCATTGAAGATTTTCTAGGACCAAAGATGAAGAGGAATCCCCAGTAATCTCACTCAAACCCAGTCCAGCTTTGCATCAGCCGGGTAGCAACCTACTGTAGGCGACCACCATTCAAGCATCAACAGTTTGTTCCTCCATCTCCATTCCCCCATTTTGATATGGTCTGCCATTTTTCTTGACAGAAACTCGAACAAGAATTTTGAGCCATGCATTTCATACATCTGTATGCCAGGGATATTGCTCCATTTGTTAGTGGCCCATCTCCTGATGTCAGAGAGAGTGGGCAATTCCTTCATATCACTGAAGCTGCCAACCAAACATCTGCTTAGTAAATCCTTATCAGAAATTTCAGGCCCTTGAACAGTAACTCGTTGACCAAAAGGGGTTTGTGCAGACGACGTCGAGGTTCCTTTTGCCTCCCACTTATCGGTTTTGAATGCTTCCATATAAGAGTGCTCCTCTGTTGGTTTGATAAAACTCTTCACAGTTGGTTTGACAAAGCTTTTCACAGCTGGAGCCACCTTATTTATGAACTTCTCTATATTTAAAGCAACATCTCTCCATCCCACATTGAATGCTACTTCTGGAAGGATTATGACAGCTCTGCATTCTCCCTGTACTGCTTCAATGCTTATATATCTGCCAAAATCATTGTATTTCTTTGTACAGAAGAAATTGTAGACATGGTCTCTGGACTTCCACCTTCTGAGTTCATTCCCCTTTCGATCAGATGTTGTATGAAGAAAACTGCAAACCCACAGCATGACATTTCGATTGAGAGTCATTTTCCTCATGAAATTCTTCTTGCGTTCCACCCAGTCGTACCAAACCTCTGCACCATTTTTGACTTCAGTAATGTCAAAAGACTTCTCACTAATAATAAAATATATTCTATTAACCATAATTTAGGAAGAAAGAGAAAAAGAAGACAAAGTTTTTGAGCCAATCACCAAGACATGATTGATAAAAAAACTAAGTAACCAAAGGAAAGATCATCGGAAAGGGAGAGAAACGATATCAGGGAGAGTTTTTAGGCTCTCACCTCGGAACTCGTGCCTGGGAGCATCTAAAGAGTTCACTTTCTAATACACCTTTTTTTTTTCTAATTCTAGTTGGAACTATAATAGCAACCATGGTTCTTGTCTTGCTATTATGCTTTAGCTCCGCTTTTTTTTTGTTAAAATCTATCTTGTGGATATCTTTTTTTTTGTTATAACGGTGGTGTTTGGGCCAGCTTGTGTGTACTTCGACTATTCCACCAGGTAGCTGCTACATCCCACTACCATAGATACCGGGTAAATCGGCCTAATGTTTATCTTATGGATATTGTCCACTCAATAGCACCCAAAAGTGGATGTTAGGTTTATAATGGACTGTACATAAACTTTTAGGCTTACCAACTACCTCTAGGAACAATAGTATTGATTAGCATCATTCAAGGAGACTTGATTTAGGAGTGTTGATTAGCATGATTTTAGGAGATTTGATTATATTTAGGAGATCTGATTTTATTCTGATTTGATTTGATAGGTGAATTGATTGTATAGATTTATTTTATTTCTTTAATTAGCATTAGGAGCTTTGTATAAATTCTCTTGCTCATGGGATGTAAACATACACAGAAATACAAAAAGTCTTTTTTTCTTCTCAAAATCTACATGGTATCAGAGCCATTGCTGCCTTTTTTGAGGTGAGTTATCTCCTTTGCAGCAGTAGGGTTCCTTTTTATCAAAGAGGTCGAGTTTTCTCTCTTGTTGGTTGTCCGCGGCACAAACTCCTTCTGATTGGGCTGAAATATGTAGACATTCAAGGAGATGGTTTCTGGAGAAATCTTGTCTTCGGATAAAAATCAGCTTCACCGTCACCTCCAAGCCAAAATTGACTCCGCTAATGTTGCCACATCCAATCATATGCAATCAGGTACTGCCTTTGCTGATAACCTTAATTCTTGGATTATCGATTCTGGTGCAAATAGACACATGACAGACTCCTCTAAAGGCATTAAAAACTATTCTCCGTCTCCTAAAGGAGATAATGTTAAAATAACCAATGGTTATTTAACACCTATCTCTGGAACAGGTTCTATCATTTGTACTCCTAATATTAAACTATCATTCGTGCTCCATGTCCCTGAGTTCCCTATTAATCTTTTATCTGTTAGTGACATCACCAACGCTCAACTATAAAATCAAGTTCTTTCCCGATCATTGTATTTTTCAGGATCTTCAAATAGGGAAAAGGATTGGCAGTGGTAAATTGCGTGATGACTTGTATATATTAGATGGGATTCAAAACTCTGGTCAAGCCTTTCTGGGGGAAAGTAAGGATGTCAACCACGAAATAATACAACAGCATAGACGGTTAGGACACCCATCATTCTTTGTTTTGAAGAAGTTATATCCCGATTAGTTTTCAAGGACTCGATTTGAATCTTTGTGATGCGTGTGAATATGCCAAGCATACTAGAAACTCTTATCTTGTGAGAGATAATAGAAGCACAACTTCATTTATGACTATTCATTATGATATATGGGGTCCTACCCAAACTGGTTCTATGTCTGGTAGTCAATGTTTTGTTACGTTCATTGATTGCTGCACTAGGATGACTTGGGTATATTTGTTAAAATCCAAAAGTGAAGTTTTCTCTTGTTTTCAGACATTTTATAAGATGATTTGTACTCAGTTTGATGCCAATAAAAATCTTCAGAACTGGCAATGGCAGCGAATACATGGATAAAAGATTTGGTGCTTATTTGGAGTCCATTGGGATAGTCCATCAGACTAGTTGTCCTTACATTAGTGCACAAAATGGGGTCGTACAAAGAAAAATAGGCATCTGTTAGAAGTAGCAAGATCTCTTATATTCACCATGCATCTACCAAAACTTTACTGGGGGATGCTATTCTAGCGGCTACCTATCTTATCAACAGAATGCCACTTAAACCCCTCAATTTTCAAAGTTCTCTGGAAACTTTAAAGGGTAAGAATGAATATACTGCTCCTCCAAAGGTGTTTGGGTGTGTTTGCTTTGTCCACACTAGAAACTCTGGGAAACTTGATCCTAGAGCTATAAAATGTGTTTTCATTGGGTATTCTCCGACACATAAAGGTTACAAATGTTATCATCCTCCCTCTAAGAGATTTTTTGTTAGCATGTAAGTTACCTTTCGAGAATCTGAGCCCTATTTCAGTATTACCTCATTACCTCTTCAGGGGGAGAGCAGTAAGGAGGAAGAGGTGATTTTACCTAGTTCCATTATTGGACCTCTAGATGATATTGTCAGGGGAAAGTGAAATTGGAGAAAGAATTCAAGGGGAGACTATTGGGTGTTTGGATAGGCCTGATTTGAAAACTTACTCGAGGAAAAATAGAGCAAAAGAAGCCATCATGCAATATACCGAAGCTAAACCTTCTTCTACTGGTGAGTTATCTACATTTCCTGATGAGTTAGATGAACTATTGCTCTCAAAAAAGGAGTCAGATCTTGTACCACCAAATACCCTTTATCTAATTTTGTCTCTTATAATTCTCTGTCTCCCTCCTATAGAGCCTTTACCTTGTCTATTTCTTCTGTGTCTATTCCCCAGAATTGGAGGGAAGCTTTTGCAGATCCTAAATGGAAGAAAGCTATGATTGAAGAAATGAAGGCCTTGTCAAAAAATGAGACATGTGAACTTGTCACTTCGCCACCAGACAAGAAGTTGGTTGGCTGCAAATGGATCTTTACTACGAAGCACAAAGCTGATGGCTCAATTGAAAGATTCAAAGCAAGATTGGTGGCTAAGGGATTCACTCAGACTTATGGAGTGGATTATCAAGAGACATTTGCCCATGTTGCTAAGATGAACACTATTAGAATTCTTTTATTTGTGCACCTAATCTTGATTGGGACTCGCAATAGTTTGATGTGAAGAATGCATTTCTTCCTGGAAACTTATAAGAAGAGTTATATATGGAGATTTCTCCTGGATTTGATACTACACAGAGTCGAGGAAAGGTATGCAGATTGAATAAAGCCTTATACAGACTGAAGCAATCCCCCAAAGCTTGGTTTGACAGATTCAACAAAGCAATGATCTCCTTCGGTTACCAATAAAGGAATATTGATCACACCCTCTTCATAAGACATTAAACGGGTAAACTCACTCTTCTCATAGTTTATGTTGATGACATAGTAATGACAGGAGATGACAAAGAGGAGATGTCTCGATTGAAAAAGTTGTTGGCACATGAAATTTGAGATCAAAGATCTAGGAAAATTGTAGTATTTCTTGGGAATTGAGGTTGCTAGATCCAAAAGAGGAATCTTTATTTCTCAAAGGAAGTATATTCTGGATCTTTTGAAAGAAACCGATATGACAGGTTGCAGACCCGCAGAATCGCCCATTGAAAGCAATCACAAGTTACAAAGCGGAGTTGGAGAATCAGTTGATAAGGAGAGATATTAGAGGCTGGTTGGAAGACTCATTTATCTCTCCCACACTAGACCAGACATAGCCTATTCAGTTAGCGTGGTGAATCAGTTCATGCATGATCCCCGAGATCCTCATATGCAAGTTATCTTTCACATTTTGCAGTATCTGAAGTCTGCTCCAGGGAAAGGTCTACTTTTCTCCAAACATGATCACCTCCAAATAAAAGCTTTTACAGACACGGATTGGGATGGATCTCTAGATGACAGAAGATCAACATCCGGTTACTATACGCTCGTAGGAGGAAACTTGGTTACTTGGAGAAGCAAGAAGCAAAGTATAGTTGCTAGATCAAGTGCCGAGGCAGAATATAGAGCTATGGCCCAGGGTGTTTGCGAACTGCTTTGGCTACAAAAGCTACTACAGGAATTAAGACGGTATGAAAAAGGAAACCTTTCCTTGTATTGTGACAATAAAGCTGCCATCAGTATGGCTCATAATCCAGTCCAGCATGACCGAACAAAGCATGTGGAAATTGATCTACACTTCATCAAAGAAAAAGTTACAACTGGTGTCTTGAGTTTGTTTCATGTGTCATCGGAAAAACAGCTAGCTGATGTGTTTACTAAAGGTCTCAACAAGCGAACTTTTCATACTTTGAGTTGCAAGTTGGGCATGTGTGACATCTTGGCACCAACTTGAGGGGAAATGTTGATTAGCATGATTTCATTTGATTATATTTAGGAGATCTGATTTTATTCTGATTTGATTTGATAGCTGGACTGATTGTATAGATTCATTTTATTTCCTTAATTAGCATTAGGAGCTTTATAAAAATTTCCTTACTCATGGGATGTAAACATGCACAGAAATACAAGAAGTCTTTTCTTCTTCTCAAAATCTACAAATAGTACATGGAAAACTAATTTTAACTTTTTCAACTTTGTGTCTTGACATTTAGTTTACCTAGTCATATTTCCATTTTGTCAATTTTGAATTTTACCTTTAGATTACGCAAATTATGGAATAGATTTGAACTATTGATTCCCTATTTTCCATTTGCTTCGCAATCTTGAGATTTTTGCTTCACCCTAACTATACTTTGTCTGTAATGTGAATGGTGTTGATACCCAATTTTTTCCTGTGTATTTTTATGCTCAAAATATTTTCCAAATAGCATGTGTATGCATATATAAGCATGCCCAAGAGTTTTGATGTTTTTTTCTAATTTTTAAGAATTTTTAAAATCAATTTATTGCCTATTTTAGCAGTGCAAAATCCAATAATTATTCCCAAAATTATCATCTTAGCGAATAATTTATTTCCATTCTCATATTTACACCAAAATACAATTAAGAATAATTTATTTCCATTCTCATATAGCCTATTTTAAGATTAATAGCATTTCTATAATTGTNGATCAACGGTCACGATCTCCCCTTTCCATTTTTAATTCCTCAAACCTTACCCTAGTCCCCATTTTCTATTTAGCCAGCCGCCTTTGAATGCTCTCCACCCTCAAACGCTCTCGAAGGTTCTTCGGAACCCTAGCCGTCTCCGACCCCTTTTTCACCGTACTTTCACTGGAATCCATGTCTTCTCAGGCCATGGATGGTCTATACTCATTCCTCTCCACCATTAGACCTTGGTTGTTCGAAGTTGTGAGGCCTGACCTCGACGATTCCCTCTCTATTCTTCTCCGATCTTTGATTCCATGGTTTCTCCGGCCATGCTCTGGCACATTCGAGACTCAGGAGCCCGGTTCTTTACCTTCCCAACTCAGGACCAGACCTGTCTCATAGCCTTTCTCATTTCTAGGGTTTCTCTGAAACCCTAAGCCATTCGAGGTTCTTTCACCGTTATTTGTTTAGATCTGTACTATGTCTCTGTTTTTCTTGACATCTAGAGTGTTTTCCCCAAAAGTTTTTGTCAAAATTGTTTCTCTCCGATTTTTAGGGTTTCCGTAAGGATTTTTGAAAAAATCTTTCTGATTCTTTTCTTCTTTGCTTTATGTGTGTTTGTTTATACCTTGCTCGTATGATTTCTTTTATTTTACGCATATATTGTCTTTTACCTTCTTCTTTTCTCCTGTTAATTTCTGTTATGTTTTCACTACTCTTCTGCTATATGTGCCTACCGTTAAAGTTATTTGTTTTTTGACTCTGTTCATGTTTTTACATGTTTCATCTGCTTGTGTTCAAGTTTGCACTGTCTCTTTCTTCTAAACTTGTTTATGTTCTGAGTTTCCCGAATATGGTTTTCATGATTTTTCTTCCTTTGTTGTTCAAGCATGCTATCATGTCTGTTTTGTTGAGACTCTGAAAAACAAATGGTTTGCTTTCCCACCTCTATTTCTGATTCAACATTTGAAACCCTAGGATTTGGGGTTTCCTTTTGACGATTTTGATTTTTTGTGTTCGAGTCAGGGTTCCACAATGGGGCCCTGGACTCTCAGACTCACTATGAGTCTGCAGGTTGAACCTGCATCTCCTTACTTATGATTCTGAACTTCTCTTCGATTAAAATTCTCTTTTAAACAACTTGACAGTCTCTTCTTGATTTACATGTTTGAGTGTTTATATATATGAGAACTCTTCTTTCAAAAAGACTTTGCCAACTACGAATTGATTCTGGATTCCTTTAATTGTGTTCACTTGATTGTTACTGGTTTTCCCTAATTGAACCTTTCTTTACCCCTTTTTCTTACTCGATTCATTCGAGTGAAAGTCTGAAGTTTTAATTTTACTGGTTGATTCCCTTTCCTTTTTCTTTACAAGCCGTGTACTATTAGCTTGTTGCCTTAAATAGCTTCTATGTACTTACCCTTTATTATATTACTGGGAAAATATTTTTTAAAAATCCATTTCCATAATTGTTTTACCCGCTCGAGATCATAATCCCTTAACTAAAGGGAGACTGATCAGAATGATATTTCCTTACCTTTTCTTACTTACTTGCTACACTATAAAAAGGGCTCGACCCTTCTGCATTAAATGGGGGGCTTTAAGCTTTGATAAAACCTTACTCTCTCACATATACTTTCAATCACAATACTTTTTCAATACCTTCTACTCTCTGCTGATACTTTTGTACTGCTTTGCAATTTGGCTTTTCATGACTGCTATTTTACTTACCTGTCTTTCCTGAAACTGGTATGTCTAATTTAATTTCTTGCATCACCCCCTATGTGTTTATTTTATAGTTTCAGTACTCTTTCCCACTTTGTTGTTCATGTTCAGTAGTTAAATGATATGTGTTTCTTTCCTTGTATCTTGTTTCAATTATGAATCCCTATCCCCCTATTCCCCTCTATGTATCTAAGTTAATGGTTTTGGCCTGGCAGTATCTAAATTACTGCCCAGGTCTGAACCTGACCTTCAATAGGTTCTAACTCCCAATTTAAGCTGACGGGCTGGTCAGGGGTGTGCCAGCATCCCAATTGTTGGGCATGACCACTAGTTTGTCATGGCTCCTCCCTAATTCCCCCTCTATTGCACTTACACTTACTCTTAGACTCTAAGTTCTGCCCCCCTCCTATGAGCCTTGCCTTGGGAATCTGGAGTTCCCTCTGAACTTGGACATTGGAGGGTTGGCCATTCCTCACTGCACTATAATTCTGTAATATAATTGGGTGTAAGAACTGCCTGGAGTTCACAAAGCTCCTTGGAACTTTGACACACCCAAAAGATGAGAAAGGCTTTGGGAATCTGATCCTGGAAGTTGGTTTATCTCATATTATTAAACTTTGAGTCTGAACTAGGCTGTTCAGATGTAGTTGGAATTTCTGATGTAATATACTTTTTCTGGATTCATTCAAGTGGTAATAATTTATAATAACTATGGGGTGTATAGTAAAATGGAGGAGGGTCTCTCATGTTATGCATATGGGGTAGATATCTTGCTTTAGGTTTTATTTCTGCAATCACAACATTTTCGTTTATATATCTGCATTTAGAAATTCTGCCTATAAGATTGTGTCAGTATGCATTTAGAAATCCTGCCTATAAGATTGTTTCATTTCAGCATCAGAAAACGTGTCTATAAGTTTCTATACTTCTGCATATAGAAATCATGACTATAGGCTTCTGCACTTTTGCATATACATATTAGGAAAACAGTCTATAGGTTTAAAATAATCAATTGCATCCTAGACACCATGCTTATAGGACTCCTGCACTTACGTAACCGTTTTAAACCAATGACATTTAGAGATCATGCCTATAGGAGCAAATCAGTTGAATCAGTTTCGTTTCGAATCTAAAATCAGTCATAAGTCCGTAGATTTTCGTTTATAAAACTAGCATCATTTTCGTAAAAATCAGTGTACACTGTTAGATATCATACCTATAGGTCTCACTCAGGTAAACTACTAGGTAATTAACCAATTGTATCAGTTTTGATAACTACATCCAGACAGGGCTAATTCGGACTCCTCATCTGAAAAATATGTGATAAATCAGTCTGTCTTACGCCTTAATTTATTAAAGACCTAACCAGTACTTGTATAAATAACTTGCTGCTTCGAATGAGGAGGCCTACTTGAGCCTTAATTGTTATTTGTTCACCCTTTAACTGCTATTTTTTTTTGCTTGTCGCCTAGATTTTTATCCTTTTGAAACTCCGGAAAAGCCCCAACTCCCTCCACTTTAGGATTAGTAGTCTCAAATGCCTCCGGTACTGATAGGATTGGGACGGTTAATAGCATGCAATAAGTAACGACATCATTCTGCGCTTTAATACAACGGGGTGGGAATGGTAGCTATGGATATGATGACCGGTGCGGTAATACCACGTGTAGCCCCTCNTTCTCAAGTTTTGACTTACTTGCAATGTTGTATGTGAACCCCTTCTTACTTGAGCCCTTAATTGTTTATTTGATTATGTAAAGTCACAATTGTAACATGGCCAGGAACCACACTAGTGTATCTTGAGGGGTGCCTAACATCTTCCCCTCAAAATAATTTCTAGCCCTTACCCAAACTTTGGTTCTTCAAACTCAAACCCTTCTTAGTGTCCTAATGCACTTAATCATTAGGTGGCGACTCTTTAAATTCCAAAACCCAATTCCCAAAAGGGAACGAGTTGTCCTCCCAAATGTCACAAGCCCGATTTCGCTTTTTAGAAAAAGGGGACGCGACAGCGTGGCGACTCTGCTGGGGATACTTCTTTTAGGCTTTTACCATTTCATGTTATTTGTGACTTTACTGCTTCTTTATTGCCTTTATTTAATGTCTTTATTTCTCTTCTATTACGAAACTGACTTGGCTCCTTGTTTCTTTACTTTAATGTTTTCCTTTACTGCTTTCCTTTAATACTGTTGTAATTATGAGGAATTATTGTATTTATTACCTTATGAACGTGCAAATACGTGACAAGTTGTTTAATTATTGCGTAAGCATGTTTTCAACATCATATTCCACTCGTGCCAAACAAAATACCATAGCAACGCTTATAAATTCTCGCACTGGGTTTAAATATTGCAACGTTTTCTTCTCATTATCTGCACTAACTTGCTACCTTTTTGTTTTACCTTTTGTTTATTCCCTTCCCCAAAGGTTAGTTCATGCACTCTGACATCGTCATCATACTCCACAAGATCTAAGGGCCCTCCTCCTCCTCCTCCTCCGAGTCCTATCAGGAACAAGAACAAGGAAAAAATGAAAGATTTGAGCAACATCATAAAGGTGAACTCAGTTGAAAGGATAGAGGTTCCTCAGGGTATTCAGGTTTCCAAGGAAAGTGCCTCTCAGCTCGAACAAAAGTTATTGAAATTTCAGGAGGAATTGGACCAAGTTTGGAACTTGGCAAGTTTGTCGTTTTCCCTCACTACCCCAGATGTCAGTTTTCGAAACACTCAAAACCCCGCACCCCCGCAAAACATCCCGAAACCACAAACCCGCTCCCCATCACCATTGCAACACATGCCACACTTCAGACAACACCCCACTGCTCATCCCTGAACCACTAAATTCCACAAATGGTCATCTCCACAACGCCCCCATCTATGTGGAAACCATGCCACACTATACTCAACTCATTTCAAGCACACCCGAGTCTGATAATAAGGACTCGATTATCAGGAATCTGGCAGAAGAACTCAAGAAGCTGACTAGCAGAATTCAGGGCGTCGAGGGAAGTAAGGGGATTGAAGGACTAAAT